CGCCAGGGGGCATGAGACGAAATGCATATATGACTTTGAGCATTAACTTATGCAAAAATTTTAAGATATCTTTAAACGTTCTATGCGAACAGCTTGTTTCTCTCAGGATTTATTGATAAACATTTATGAATACATTACTTCATCTTCTAGCATTTCTTCCCATACCTACATACCTTTGAGTTACTAAAATCAGTCTTCCTTTTATTAACAAGGTTTTTTACTAAAGGCCTTCACTTCTTATAATAAATTTAATAACCTACTCTTTTTAAAAAACTTTTCTTAACCATTTTTCGATGTTGCTTTGATTGATTTGTTTAACACACTGCTTAATCGCATAATGGCTTAAAGCAGTTTTCCACCTTATTGCTTGCTCTGATTTTTCCGTCCTTTCAAAATATGTTGAGTCGTTGCTATTGGCTAGAAATTGGCTGATCTGCTTCTCTCAACTCATTTTATTCGTGTTATCTATACTTATTGTCATATCTTTTCATTTCATTACCTACTTCACTCGCCTGTCCCTTTCCCTACTTCAGGCACATATCTTCATATTAATTTCATCTATTTGCCATGCCTCATTTTCTCTACTTAGCTCCACCCTCGCTACCTTGTCTACTTTTACTTTTCCAACTAGCGCCTCTTCCACACTCACCCGGCCATCTTAACATATTATCAGAAAACTATTTTCTTATTGAACCCTGCCTAACTGAAATTAGTTATTTTATTCCCAAAAAGAGCTTGTCCTATTTTCTGGTGCGTCCTTCAGGTTCGGCTTTCTTTATCTTTTTTTATTACTCGACCTCTTCATTCCACCTCGATCTATTTTTATTCCTCTGTTGCCTCCTGCCTGGCCGCTTCAACATCCTCTCTTATATCCTCGATTCGACCCGACAGACCAATCAATCTCTTCTGCTGATTGGTCCTATTTTCAGATGTCGTGTCCCTCTTTTCTCATTGTTACAAAGTCTGCATCCCACGTGTATCCTACCCACACGTTCGCCTGCGTTCGCATTACGCCCAACCTACTGCCCAGCCTCTTCTGCCATTTGCGTTACACTCTCGTCCTCTCTTCGTTCTACTTGCCCAATTTTACTGCCCTCTTGCCTCCCTAATCCCTGCGTTTCCCCATTATTTCATCATGTTATCTTGCTCGTCTTTCTGCATTCCTTCCAGTCATTTCTGTCCTCCTATCCCTCAATCTAATCATACTTTCTTGTTTATTACTGCCCCCTTTTCTATTCTGATCACCTTAGCTTCTGTCTCAAACTGACTTTAAATATCGCCTTTTGACGTCCTCTTGCTCATTTCGGTTAGAATCGTATTTGGCTTCGAAGGGATCTCTGTACTGCTCCGAATATTTTGAGGGGACCGACTTTGATGACAGTCTAATAATAATACACTCATCACGTGGCTACATTAGCCTATAGTTTTTCTTGTTCTTAGCCAGCTGGGTGTATTTACTAATCATAAGCTTATTTCACTCCCAAAACTCCAAGTTTTCTGTCGCAGGTGTATTCATCTTGTTTTCTCACATTACTATGGCCTTCCTTTGTGAAACCGCTTGCTTTGCTCTATCCTTACATTTGGCTACTCCTGAATAGTTTTTAGTAGGTATACTTTGTTAAGGGATGAACACTCTACTTCTCTGCTTGGGTCACTCTTCGCGTCTAAGAGGGCTTTAAATATCTATAATCTTATCTCATCTAATCACTGGTCACTTATTTTCTGAAGTTCGCCTGCTACACGCAGTTAAAGGATTCTTGTGTGCACCAAAGCATATACAAAGCTCATGTTATACTACATTTATATTCAATTATGATGTTTTCATTAGACCAGAATATCTATCTAGAAAGCAAATGCGCTGGCTCTCCACAGATTTTGCATAGCATTTGAGTACTGTTATTTTACCTGATATAACCATATTGTATAGCAATTCTCATCTGGCTATGAACTGTAGCAAATACAGAAGTTGTTTGACCTTGTTTTCTCAACTTAATCATATTGGTAGGAAGACATAGAGAAACGTATCTAGTCCCGAGTCCATTGTATGCATGATCATTTCCAGGGTCGGACCGTGGACGCGGTACATTCTCAGACCTTTCGCCGGCATCGTCAGCAAGTCTTGCCATTCTTAGGGCCACACTACTCGTCAAAGAGACAAGTGAAGCTGATCCTTTGACCAAACGTGTGCTAAACACTTATGAG